GCGCTTGCTGTCGGAACACAGTCCGTCAGGCCCCTCCGCTTTTTGCAAGCCAGACTCGGGGGCTCTGCTTGGCCGGCGAGCCGCCCCTCCGCCCCGGCTCCCTCCCGCCAGTCCGTGGAGCGCGCACCGCCTCGCCGCCCTTCCTACCCTCTTCCGTGGGCCTCTCGTCTGCGCTTGGCTCCGGCGACTCCGTTCTGCTAATCCTCTGGTGGTTTTCTGGGTTATTTAGGCAGGTGTAGGTGGAATCTAAGTGATCAGCAGGACGCGCGGTGAGCCCAGCGTCCTCCTACGCCGCCATCTTCCCTCCCCTTATTTATTTTAAATGTAATTTTCTCCTGGTTGTTAGTCGTATTTCCCTGCTTCTTGGTTTGCTTCCTGATTTTTTTATTGGATATCCTGTAGAATGAATTTCACACTGTTGGATAATGCATCCATTTAAGTTCTGCTGCACTTTGTTCTGACACACCATTAGATTATGATAGATATTTGAGCCTTTTGAGGCTTGCTTTTACCCTTTGTGAAGGTGGGTCCAGAGTGGCTTTTAGGGTAGGGTTAATTTAGCCCTGCTTCTAAGGTGAGAAACTTCTGAGGACACTCATGATGTTCCACATATTACAAAGTCTTTTCATTCAGGCTGGTGGGAGGAAGGACTAGTCCCAACCTGTGTGAGCTGCAAAAACTGCTTGGCTTCCTGCTTCCCCGCAGCTCTGTCCCCAGCACTCACAGAGCAGTGCTCAGCCAGAGACCCAGGTACAGCTGTCCAGCCCTGCTCCTCTATGCAACACTCTCTCCCTATCCTTTTTTCTCTACAAATTCTAGCCGCCTCAGCCTCTTTGAACTTTGGTCTCTGCGCCTTCAGCTCAATGAGACTGTCAGGCTCTGTCTGGATTCCCACCGGTTGAACTCCAGCCTGAACACTCTGTCCAGGGCAATGAATGCTCTGTCCAGGCAATCACAGATCTCTCATTTCTCTTTCTCTTTCTCTCGGGATAACAGTCCTCTATGTCTGCATGCTGGTGCCCTTCCTTAAACAGTTTTTTCCCCCATATATTTTGTCTGGTTTTCTAGTTGTTTATGGTAGGACAATCTCCATAACAGTAATCCTTTGTGGGCAGACACAGAAGTCCCTTGTGGTGTAGTTTTACATTTGCTTCTTTAGGGCCCCAGACACTGGCCATTTTTATGGGAACTCTTGGCTTGAGATTCCTACACCATGTGGTGCTGTAAATTTGGACCCCACAAGCATGCAGTACTGGCTTCAGGAATCCATTGACTTTGTTTTTCTACCCAGAACCACCCCCAGGCAGATGGCAAGCTTCCATATAGCTTCTCTGTCAGTTGGTGATATTTTTACCATTCCTATTTTTTTTTACTAAGCTACCCTTTGTGTACCCCAGCTTTGTGCAGGATCTTGGTGGACAGCCACCCATCTCCAGCAACGGGAGCCACGTCTCTCGCTGGAGGAGCTTGATCTAGGTAGAATTAATATTTTTGCATTATGGCATCTGGACATATTTGATTCTTAGGTACCTGGGATGTTTTAGATAATTTATCCCAGTAATAGCTCAGCTTTATGATTTTAACCTAAAATGTTTAACTGTGATTTTATGTGGAGGACTTATTAGTAAGTTTATACACCAAATGACAAATTTAAGAGAACTCAAAATCTTCCACATCTATATACTCAGTTTCATAGGTAAGTAAGGTTATTTAAGTTTTTGGAAAGTTTTTGTTTGGTAAGTCAGACAATAGTAGTACCTAAAATGGAAAGCAAATATATTAATTTATAAATACAGCTTAACAAGTTAAAGGGAATTTAGTTATACTATTAAAGCACCCTTAAATCTTTTCAATGGTTAGATTTTTAAAATAGAAAAATAAGATCTTAAAGCTAACCTTCAAGGATTTAGGAAGAACTAGATTTTTAACTTCATTACTTTAATAGAGTAAATATTAGTTTTAAAAAACAAAACTCTGAAGAGCCTTTTTTTGTGCCTCAATATGATCCTTTGTGTACCAGTAACTCACATTTAGCAGGTCACAGATCCATGAATTCTCATGAGTTAGAAAGATTTTCAGCATCATTAAATTGATAGATCTACACTTTTGTTCTATTTTCCCTTGTAGAAACAGTGGCTTTTTACATAAACCATCAAACCATAATGTAGTTGATTTAGCTTTGTCGTTACAATGGCTGAAATAATTCTTACAACCATCTTGTTGAGAAGTCTCAGCTTATAGAGCTATGAATATGAAAGCCACTTCTCCCCCTACGTGCCACCTTGCTCCATCAAGTCCCTCGGAACTGGATGGCAGGGATCTTGGTGACGCACACTTTGATTTCCCAAGTTTTCACACAGTTTCAGAACTCAGGACACACTGTTGGGATTCAACGTCCTTCTTGTTTTCTCTCTGGTCTGGGCTCCAGTGGACTGGAACTGGGACTGGGGGTGGCAGGTTCTGCTCACACGCACACCTCCCTCCTCCTTCCCTTCCCCTAACACTGGCGACTTTGCTGCTGGTTCTCATAAGGGGGGCATCTGAGGTGTGGAGGAGAGTCTTGGGGGTCTCTCACCTGCACAGCTCCCTTGCATGCAGAACTGCCCCTGCTTTACTCCTTTCTCCTCTCTTTGGCTTCCCTGCTGGTGTCCACTTTCCTTAGGTCTTCTTGTCCAGAGACAGCCCTCTTGTTGAAGGGGGGAAAGCTTCAGACTACACAAGGTCAGCCGCCCTTGGCTTTGACCCTTGGGAAGCTCATCAACTTGCCATGCCTGTTAGTGAGAGCACAGCATCTCTCCGCTGACTGGCGTTCAATGTCACAGCAGCAGCAGGGGGCACTTGGCTGCACGCGGGAATCAGCAACAGTCAGATGAGGGGTTTCCGGTCCTGAACGTTGCAAAGGAGAAGATGTGTAGGTGTACCTCCAAACTTATAAGAGGGTCAGTTGTCCCATCCCTGACCTTTGGCAGGAGGATGGAGAGGGGAAACCTCCTTTTACCATTACTGTTTTCCTCTAGTGGTGTGTGAGTGAGCATGAGTGTGAGTGTGAATGTGTGTGGTAGAGGTGCTTGTGGGGTAGTGATGGAGGAAGAATCAAATTTCCTAAAGCATAATGCTGTCTGCCAGCAAGCCCTGCAAAGAGGGGCAGGCTCCAAAGCTGGCAGTTCTCTGAACTCAGAATCAGGGTTCTTCTTTTCTTAGCTGTGCACCCTTATTCACCAATTCTGGCACTAGACTCCCACACCATCTTATTATCCTTAGTTGACACATTACATGCAATTACTCTGGGTATCTTAACAATGGAATAGACTTGATCGTACGGTAAGCCACCAGATGTACAGTGACAGCTCAATTTTACACCCTGGATCCTCAATTGACCTTGGATGACTCTGACAAGTCTGTGAAGGTACCACTTTATTTAAAAAAATGTTTTTTTAACATTTATTTATCTTTGAGAGAGAGACACATACACAGCGCTAGTGGGGGAGGCACAGAGAAAGGGAGACACAGAATCCGAAGCAGGCTCCAGGCTCTGAGCTGTCAGCACAGAGCCCGAAGTGGGGCTAGAACCCCACGAGATGTGAGATCATGACCTGAGCCGAAGTTGGCCGCCCAACCAACCGAGCCACCCAGGTGCTCCATGAAAGTACCACTTTAACCAAGAGGAATTTACATCAGAAGATGCGCTATAAGAAGCAATGAGAAGGATGCACCAGAGACCACTAAACTAGCAGCCGAACAGGAAGAATAAGAGAAACACTGATGGGGAAGAGGAGAGGTGTGAGGACTGTTTATTAATACCAAGGAGGCTCCAAATCACAAGACCGCCAATAGAAATGCACGTCACTATCGTAACAACACACAAAACATACTGGTTGGCTTAACAATTCATCCCTGTCTTGACAAAAATGCTGAAGTATGATTGCAACCCATGAGAATTCACCGGGGAAAGTCTAGCCAAGTCCAAACTCTGCTCCACAACACATTCGTCTGCTCTCTGACCATCGTTCAACGTCCCTCTGACTTTTATTCTGGCCTTTTCCTTAAAACCATTTCCTAATGTTTGTGCTACCAATGGTATTTTCTTAACACAGAATTTGCAGATAAAGAAAAACTATTAAAATGTTGTTAGTTGATGCTTTTTTACAGGAGTAAAAGATTTCACAATTTTCCCCCAAGCAGCACAAAAATAGGGAGTAGAAAGCATGAAGACTTCCTTATGCTTAACTCAAGCCATTTGCACACAAGTAACTCGAGGCAGCTCAGTGCAGCTGCCCCTGCGCACACTCTCAGCGGTCTCCCGTCACTTGGACTTCTTGTTGCCTTTCTGGGGCTGCTCAGTGGCCTTCCTTGCCTCCTCCTCTGGGATGAACACACTGATAGTGAAGTCGCTTATCTCCGAGCCATACTTGTTCTTCACAACCAGCCCGTATTTGCCGGAGTCGGTGGTGCTCACCCCACTGATGGTGAAGTAGGCCGTCTTGCCAGCCTCAAACTTGACACTGCAGTGGTCATCTGTGACCAGAGGCTTCTCGTTCTTCAGCCAGGACACCTCTGGAGTCGGGTCACCCCACACGATGCAGGTGAGATTAAGCGCCTGCAAAACAGGTTTTATCAGAGGGAAGGAAATATATTTGGTACGATAATCCAATTTCAAGTATCCTTCTGGTGGTCCAGCAGGACCCAAAGGAGGATAAATATAAAACCCATGGAATGATGGGTGGAGTTACGTGGCATATGCACCTGCGTGGATTACAATTTGACTTCAGTCTTGAGTAGGTTTCTGTAGGGCCTCAGCCTTCTGGCTTTGGGAGTGCTTATCATCAGAACCACACGAAGGAGTTTGCTTCCAGGTCCCACAGGCACTCTTGCTTTCGTAAACACCTAGATATGCCTTTTGTTCTCATGTGGCATCTGGACGCTGTCTCAGTAGAGAAATCTCATTGCCGTAATTACCACCTGCTCACTTTGCATTCTGTCTGCCTCACAGAGCCCGGCAGCAGAATCCTAACAGCTGTTTCAGATAATGGGACTGATTTTCAGGTTCCACCTTCCTCATTTTATTTCTCCCCCAAAACTCCACCCAGTCTGTTACAGTTGCAAAGGTGCTCTACCAAAATGTATTCCTATTTCCTGATATCTTATTATACTACGATCTGTGCTGAAACCCTCTTATTTTAAAAGATCAATGCTTAGGCCTGCAGTTTTACTTTACCATAGTTTTCTGTTGAAAGTTTAAGAGTAATTGTAGATTCATAAACAGTTGTAAAAAATAATAGAGAGATCCCATGTGCCCTTACCCAGTTTCCCCCAACAGAAACATTTTACAAAACGATAGTATAAGAACACAACCAGTACGTTGACAGTGATGGAATCCATTGTTCTTATTCAGGTTTCCCCAGTTTGGCTTGCACTCATTGGTGTTTGTGTGTGTGTGTGGCTCTATTCAATTCTGTCACTTGTCTAGGTCCATGTATCTAGTCCCTCAGTCAAGACAGAGAACATTTCCATCACCACAAGGATCTCTCATGTTGCCCTTTATACCCACACCCACTCCCCTGTCCCCAACCTCCCAACCTCACTTCCAACTCCTGGCAACCACCAATCTGTTTTCCATTTCCAACACGGAATTTTCCAAAGCATTACATAAATAGCATCGTATAGTATGTAGCCATTTGAGATTGCCTTTTCTACCTGGCACAACTCCTTGCAGATTCATCCAAGTTACTGCAGATATCAGTAGTTTGTCCCTTTTTATGGGTCAATAGTGTGCCATGGTGTGTGTGCGTGTGCGTGTGTGTGTGTGTGGCTATAAAGGTCATCTGGGCTGTTTCCAGTTTGGGGCTATTATGACTAAAGTGGCTACTGAACATCTGTATACAGGTTTTTATTTGAGCTTAACTTTAATTTCTTTATGATATATGCTGAGGAGTACAACTACTAGCTCATATGGTAAATCCATGTTTTCCTTTTTTGAGAAATTGTCTAACTGTTTTCCTGAGTGGCTGTACAATCTTGGTTTACATTTCCACCAGCAATGTATGAGTGATCTGTATCTCTGCATCCTTATCGGTGTTTGTTGTTGTCACTGTTTTTATTTTAGCGGTTCTGATAGGTGTGTTAGGATATTTCACTGTGGTTGTAATTTGCGTTTCTCTGAATTTACTTCACATTTTAAATTCCATTCTTGCATTTTTTTTTCTTACTGAAATCCAGAAACTATAAGAAAAAGAACTAGGGCTCACAACAAACAGGGAAAAGGATATTCTTCTCTAAAGAGTCTTATATGATCACTTATTATCTCTTCTATAAGAGTATTGTTTAAAAACAGGAGATTAAGAAATCAGTTTCCTTTCCATGGTTAATTAGCATTTCTTACTGAATTATTCTACAAACAAATTTCAACAAGAAAAATAGTCAAGCTATTGCCATTAAACTTACCCAAGTGGATCAGGTACATGATTTTGGAAACTGATTACTTAGGGGTTAAAACTTTTTTTTTTTTTTAAGTAGGCTCCATGCCCAATGTGGGACTTAAACTCATGACTCTGAGATCAAGAATTGCGTGTCTACTGACCGAGCCAGCCAGGCACGCCTTGAGGGTTAAAACTTTTAACAAAACCAAACCAAACTCTCAAATACCTTAGGTGTCATGGAAAACTACTACCCATACTTTAGATTTATTGCCATTATAGATCACAAAGTGCTTTCATATACATTCTATCTCTTAATTCTCACTACAACCTAGTGAGCTGAATATTTTGAACCCCATTAGATGAGGAACATGAAAACCTGCAACCCTGCAGTGGTTGAGCTTAAAGTCAGCTGTGGTCACATATTCTACCCGCAAAGAAATTTAGCTGACTCTCACTAAAGCCTTTCTACATGCCTTGTTTTATCCCTAGTCTACCTACTGAATGTCTTCAGTGTCCTTCTGAGGTGGGAAAGGGTTTTGTGCCACTACAGGTACCCCTCCCCTATGGCTGGCTTATTAAATTAGTCTTTTTTAAAATGTTTATTTTATTTTTGAGAGAGAGAGACAGAGTGTGAGCGGGGGAGGAGCAGGGAGAGAGGGAGACACAGAGTCCAAAGAAGGCTCCAGGCTCTGCGCTATCTGTACAGAGCCCGACGCGGGGCTCAAACCCACAGACCGTGAGATCATGACCAGAGCTGAAGTCAGAAGCTTAACCGACAGAGCCACTCAGGCACCCCTAAAATTTGTCTCATGAAACACAGGGATGAAGAGAATGACTCCAGGTTAGAAATCATGTTCATTGCTTTTCAGAGAGATGATTACAGAGCCAGGAAGTACCAGTTTAAAGTTAAATGGAAAGAAATCGGCTTTCAACCGAAACAGAGCCAACAGAAATTCGCTGAGCAGCATGTTTCCCTTCAGAGGCGAAGTATTTAACAGGACAGCCTATTTTCCACTAGGTATTAATGTTCACATCTTTCTTCATTTGTGTTTGTCATATAGTTGTGATCGAACATTTTTTGCTTCTCATGGTATGAAAGGGCACCTCTGGAAATAGACTCTGTGGTCCACATGGGCCTGTGTAAGGCGAACTTGTATCCTGATCCTTGGCCTAAAAAACAGACTTGGTTTGTGCTTTGAATCTGGCTATTCTGAAATGAACCCTAAGAAGCAGTGGTGGGGACTTGCTTAGAACAAAGTCTGGGCCACTGGAACCCATTGCTAGTGTGGAAGACATGAGGACAGGAGTGGTGCATGCTTACCTTGCCTTCCTGGATGGTGACCACATCGGGGAGACCACCCAGCACTCGGGCACGATCTGCAAGCATAGGCATTTCTGGTTAATCACTGAAATGATGAGCGTCAGTGATCCCATTCACAAAACCACCCCAGGGAACTAACTTTCCAATTTAGCCTCCTTCTCCTTATAATTCCTTTATACCTGTTTCTAATATGTAAAATAAGAAAATGATCCAGTGATTGTGGATGTTACCCTTCCTCATACAGATACTTTGTGTGCGTGGGTGCCTCTATCTGTGCCTAAATTATCAGCTTGAGATGGATGGCTTTGTGGCATCAAGACCTGCTCTATAATTTTCACAGCTATTTTCAGCCCTGGCCCTTCTGCAGCTCAGTGGGGCTCAGCTCGAGGAGGCAGAGCAGATCTCTATGGACAGCCTCCAACTCTGCTTGGCCTCCTTTATGGGCTTCACTATGATTAAAAAAAAAAAAAGTTGCATAATTGGAGGCTATATGCCATGAGATCTGGAGGTTTATGCAAATTGTGGGCTTTCTTTGTGGACTTTTCTAGAGAGCTTTTCTTTCTTGTCTCCTACTAGTTCTTGGTATGTAGCGCTACGATCTATGGGCATGAGTGCAAGGGCCCCAGCTGAGGGGGCGAGGTGTGGGAAGGGTGCTGAAATCCAGAGCTGACCTCTTGCCCCCCTGCCCCCACTAAGCCCTGTGCTCTGGGTGTGACTGGCCCAGCCCCAGAGAAGAACACCTTTGTATAATCTGCTCAAAGGGATACTGTTTGCCACTAAAGCAGTAGCCACCACACTCTCAATTTTAGGCCTACTTTAATTAACGTGTGACTCTAGATCCCGAAGTCAGAAGACTAAAGCTTTGAATGAGTCTTGAATCTTCACTGCTTTCTCCTGTTGATTCCATTGCACCTTGCACCGCTTGTAAGTTCAACTCATCATTTGGCTCCTGCCACACCCGATGTGTGGTATCAAACAGGGCACCTGTGTGGACCCCAGTCTCCTAATCTGTGGCATGGAGGAAGGGTTGCATTACAGCTGTGGACATGATGTCACCCAGCTCTGCTCCACAGCATACGTGGGATTCCTCTAGGGGCCCTCTGAGGAGGGGCACTGAGTCAGGGAGCTCAGACCCCATCCCAACTCCAATGAAGCTAACTCAGCTTTTACCCATTTTGGTAAAATATCTTTCACACAGATACTGGATCTGCGTGAAAGATGGTGTTTGAATGAAGCATCCCCCAACATATAAAAGATTAAACACATGGGGCTAGAAAAGCACTAAAGTCTCTTCCAGCTCTAAACTGCTTTGATACAGAAATTTCAGAAAGAGTTCATGAACTGGAAGGAAGGTCAGGCTCCTTGCCCACCAGAGTTTGAGAATGGGGAGTAGCCACCAACTGTGGACACTGGATTCGCTTGTGCGTGTGTACAGGAGCAGGAGAGGCACACTGGGTACCAACAAGGAGCGCTCCCCTCTGGCCCACAGTGGGCCCCGGTGCCTGCCCCATTCACCACTAGCAGCAGCCACACAAACCCAGCACAAGGGCAGGAAGAGGGAAGGAGCAGGAAGGAGGCGGGAAGCAGTGCAAGTCAAAGGTGAAAAGTTCCATCCTGAATGACCTGGAGCCACTAAAAGGCTGGCAATGACCTCATTTCTCACTCCCCTACGGTTCCCTTCCATTCCAGCTCAGGACTGACTCTACAATTTTAACCTTCAACCATTTTCAAATTGTTGCTTCACACACTCAGAGAGAACCTGCATGATTACGATATTTAGTCCATGACCCCTGAAATCCTAAAAGATTGGGAGTTCCAGAAATCTCCATGTGTGAGGCAAACAGCTGACAGAAGTTAGTAGTGAGCACATTTCTGGGTACACAGACTTGACAGTTTGGCATTTGTTCACTCAGACCGTGAAGTATTCAAGAAGGCCTTATTTGGCAGCTTTTATCCTACAAAGGCTCTTAGGAAAATGCAGGAGTAAATCAGTGATAGTGATTTACCTGATGCCAAATGTACAAAAATTCTTTTTTTTTATTAAAAATTTTTTTAAGTTTATTTATTTATCTTGAAAGAGAGAGCATGAGCACGGGAGAGGCAGAGAGAGAGGGAAAGAGAGAATCCCAAGCAGGCTCCATGCTATCAGCACACAGCCTGACGTGGGCCTCGATCCCACAGACTGTGAGATAATCCGAAATCAAGAGTCAGGCACTCAACTGACTGAGCCATCCAGGCACCCCACAAAGTTTCTTATTTCTTCTGTTCTTTAATATATATAAATTTTTCTGACACATTGTGCCTGCTGCAAGTGGTTAACAACTTGCATAATTTGTGCCCAGAGATTTCTCAGGACACCTGGGTGGTTAGCTCAAGAGCTGAGTGACAGTCTTAAAATGTAACCTGAGACCTTCCTTTCACAGACATTCTTCCTCAAGAGACTAAATGAAAACACATGTAGAAGGTTAAAAAGAAAAAAGAAAGGAAAAAAATTCATTCTTCTCCATCTGCAGTCACAATAAACAAATGAAAGTTATGTTTTGAAACTATGCCAGGAATAAATGGGAAGGGGGTTTTACTTACTTTTCTCTGCAATAGCAGCTTGTCTGTGGTTGAGAGACAGGAACAAACATGAAAACAAAGAAGAATTTTGTTTTAGTGTTACTTCAAAGTGGAGAAACCTGGACTGCATTTCATTCCCTGGGAGACATCTTGCTGCTCAACAAGGCAGTGGGAAGTGTTGCTTTTAGGCATTTGCCAAAATAAAAGACCCTCTCTAACCCTCAGGTGGGGGAATACCTGAGCACACCATGTTCCAGAGAAATCAGTGCATGCAAATGGCAAGGGACTTACTTTAATCTCTGGAATTCAGCAAAGGCTTCATCATATGCTTTAAGAGAAAAAAAGAGAAGTTAGAATGTTCTCACCCAGAACTGAGGACACAACAGGAGTGGATTAAAATTCACAGCCTGAGGTCGGTGTGATCAGTCCGGACATGACTAAGCTGACTTTGAATAAGGCTATGCCTCCTTTACTCTGCAACTTGATGGACTTCACAGGGGAAGCAAATACTTTCTAGGGAGAAAAGATGAAGTAGTGGATTTTAGAAGCTCCCAATTCGGTTGCAAGACCATCCTTTCAAACAGAAAGGCAAAGATTCACTCTGCCAAAGTAAAATGGTAATAAAGGTGGCTAAACATCCTGAACATCATAAAGGCTTTTCTGTTATTAAATAAATCATCCCCCATGTACGTCACAGCTTCCTAGCTGGACAGTTAAGTGTTTCCATGTTGCATAGTCTGGCCCGTCTATCTGTGTGAAAGGGCACAGGAACTATGACACTCACAGTGTGTGCCAGCGTGGGCCCGAAGCAATGCTTCTGAGCTGGCCAGGAGCCGAGATAAAAGACAGCAGATGAGGGAATGAGAGCTACACTGTTCTAAAATCTCTCCTACCCCCTGAGCCTGCAGAGCAAGCCGCTTGGAATGCTTCAGGTAAAAAGGCAGCTTTATTGTGAAGTCTCTCTCATCTCTTCTTTAAGCTCCTCTTTGGTCTGAGAATCATGATATTTTATGTCTAGAAAGTATTTACATAATACCAGTCCATCCCCCTGCTTTTACGGATGGGAAGAATAAGCACAAAGTCAGGCTTCAAGTCTGGGGAGGTAGGCCAGTTAGGCTACCCCTAGCTAAGCGTTCAGTGCCCTTCCTTTTGCCCACACTACACTGAGACATGGGCATCGCTGAACCAATATGCTTTGGTGAGCCGGGGAGTAAAAGAAAAAGTTTTTTAGGTTTTGGTTTTTGTTTTTAAATCCACCCCCTTCCTGTTTCCCATTTTCTGTTGTGTTTCAAAATGCGAGAGATCCCCTGTCACTGCAGTGTGTGACTCAGGCACAGTGGTGGGGGGGGGGGGGGGGGGGAAGGGGGAGGCTGAGGCAACCACTCCCATTTGAATCTTTCCAGTCCAAATGAGTGGGAGATGGGGGGTAAAGACAAGGGGAGTCAGCACAAAATAAGGTAGGACTGAAAAGGCTGTGCTCTGAATTGTGAATCTACTCTCTGAGGATTAAAAACACTAAGAGTTCTGGGATATTTAGATTGCATTTGAGTACATGAAGAAGTGGAAGAAAAAGTCAGTCCACAGTCTCCTTGAGAAATATTAGGTAGAAGCTAGACAGGAGCAGTGGAAGGAACACCCCAAGGCAGAGTCCCAAGTGCTTGAAGGAGGATGATAGAAACAGGAGCTGGAGGCAAGGATGGTGATAAGTAAGCTACACATTAAAAGCCTGAGGGTACAATATCCTGACCCTGTGGCTTTCAAGGCCTTGGGGCTGACAGATCAAGAGCCACAGGTGCGTGAGGAACTCACACTCGCTTTCCTCTTCCACCTCTTTTAACCATTTAACTTGTGGTTGATAGTTGCGTGTTACTTCTGGTCTGTGTTTGTCCATGTTTCTCACTGCTTCCTGCTCCTCTTTCCTCTTCTCTCTAGATGCCCCCATTCTCTCAGCAGATGACCAAGAAATCTGAGGCCATAAGGACCCAACTTTTCCAACTTTCTTCTCTTCTCCTTAATATTGATCTTTGCCAATTCACATTTACCCTCCTCTGGTTTCTGAAGAAAAGGAATCTCTTGCTCTTCCCAAAGTCAACGCCTCCGCCTCAGCCCTAGATCTCAAGCCTTCCATTCTTCAGAACACGGATATATTGGTTATTCCCCTTCACTCCCACCTTCAATCCTTCCATCTCGACTGATTTCTTAAACTCTATTAAACATGCTCAAATTTCAATCACCATAACACATTTCTTTTTCAGTGATCGTCCTTGCTCAAGTGATTGTAAATCAACCCGCCCTTCTTTGTAAGCACCTTGAAAAGGTAGTTCTTTCTCTCCATGTTTATTGTCTCCACTGTATACTTTTCACTGATACTCCAAGACCCACTGAATTCTTTCTTCCACCACCACGCTAAATTTAAACTACTTGATTAAAATCCCCAATCATCTTTCAATAGTCAAATGTAATGGCTTCTTGTCGCCCTTCATTCTTTTTTAAAAGCCCTCTCTCCTCCTCAGGAATTTCTAACCTGCAAAATATCCATTTACCTTGTCCAGAAAGATCCACTGTCTTTTGGTGTCCAGTTTTGCCATCAAAGAGCTCCATTACATACTTCCCTTTGTCATTCGGAGTGGGCTCATTGATTTGCAGCCAGATCTGCTCCCCGGTGACCCCACTCTTAACTCTGTCTGTGTACTTAATAGCAGTCCCGCTGTTCATATCAAAGAAAACATTGTTATTGTTTGCTTTCATCCAGAGCTCATTTTTACTCGTTCTTGAAGATCTCACCATAGAGTTTTACAGGCTTTCAAACAACATGGGATCCACATATGTTCTGCTTCAGAAAAATTATGGGCCCTGCATCACAGGACTTGGATTCCAAGGCCCAGGGCGGGGGTGAGGGTAGGGGGTCTGACAGTCTGTACATTTAACTCCCAACAGCAGTGTGGGGCCCTAGCCGATTGCAACGCCGATACTTCTCAGTGGTATTAATGATCTTTGTTTTTGCTTGGGTTTATTTGTAGGGCTAAGAGAATCTTTAAAGTGAAAAGGCCAAACTCCATGTTATATTACAGCATATTTCACGCAGATGGTCTACGGCTATAAATCAGATTTTACAAAATAATTAAAAGCAGACTTAAGGAGGTTCATCTGTGTCTGAAATCTATTGACATGTACGTGGTTACAAAGCTATTTAAAACATATGTAAATATGTACTTGGTAGGAAGGCCTAGAGTAAATGAAAAGCAGAATCTCTGCCAAAATGAATGAGGCACTTTCTCTGTCCCTGAACGTGAGTTTCTCTAAATTCTGTAGTAGGTCATAAGCAGACACATACATTGCATTCTTTACAAGAGAATGAAAGCAAATAGAACCCTTTGCTTTGTGATCTGATGGCCCAGACATGTTACTGTTATAAAGGAGGTAAGAGAGAGGTAGAGGTAGATATACTCTCAATGATGCTAAAAGAAACTTTACGAAGAGTTTGTAAACACAAGAGGAAATAAGAAAAAAAGGCACAAAACTACTTAATGATAGCAACAATTATGCATAGAGAAAAGACTGGAAGTACACCAAAAAGTTTACCCTATGGCTAGGAAAACTAGAGAGGATATCATATTATAAACTCTTTCTGATATGTAATATGATATTATGTGTATTTTCTAAAAGAAGCAATGTATTATGTTTGTAGTTGTAATAAACAAAATGAACTTTAAAAACAGAGAAACAAAAATCACGACTAAAAATTTTCAGCTTTCAAATAAACATTCACAGCATTTTTCTTATACACTACATTCTTTAAAAGCTATTAAAAGTTAAACTGCCATAAAATGAACAGTAATGGAGCCCCTCTGCACCCACAGACTTGAGTCTGAGCAATATATATGTCTTAGACAGTTAGAAAGATAGATAGTCCTCTGGTTTGCTATAATAAATCTGTTTGAAATCTCTAATCTCTGACCAACATGCATAATACCTTACATTTGTAAAGCCCTTCACGGTTTACAAAGTGCCATAACTTTTTTCATTCTCTCATTGGGTCCATCAGTATTATGAGATAAAACAGGTATTATTGTTGCTATTTCATATGAGAGAAACCTGACATTTCAGAAAATTAAATGACTGGCCCAAGAATCAAAGGAAGATAGGAGCCAAGTCAAGACTAAAGCCCATTTCAAGGTTTTTTTTCCTGTTATGCCGCATATTTACATAAAGACAGTGAAGACAATGAGTCCTTGATTCCTGAATCTTTCATAGGTGCCGGGGTACATAAAACAGTCATTCAGCTGACTAGACTGAATAGAGTCAGAGGTTTATGCCTTGCTAGTCTAACAGCAGTTTCCTCAAAACTGAATGCTCTCATTTTTGTGAACAAATAATTCTTTTAAAGATGATGTAAAGACTTTTGATCGATGATTCAGTTAATTTATCTTCTCTTATTCTTCAGACTGATATATTAGGATGTCCTAGCTGTCACAGAGGAATTTCCTAGAATTTGATCTATTTTAACTTATAATTACTTTCCTAAAATGTTCTGAAAGAAATAGAACAAAGGAATGAAACCCCAGGCGTTCAAATTGGAATTTTACTCCTTCTCTTCCCACCCCCACGTCCCCCTCCCCGCTCTGTTTTTTTAAGAACTCAGGAAATGAATAAGAATACGAATAAAAACTGTGTTCTGTATCACAATAAAGTCATTTTTAAAGAAAACACAAATGACTATTTTGTGGGACCTAGCTCTGGTTAAATGTTCAATCTAGACTTTTAAAGCAACACGAACACAGAGTAGTGCTGTCTGGGCTCAGTGCTCCATCTACCACTTCGTCGTGTGGCCTCAGGCAAATCACCTCCCTGAGCCTGAGCGGCCTCATCACGGAGTGAGAATTACTTGCTTCCTAGAGTTGTGAATATTAACTGAATTCATACATGGAAAGGGCGTGGAGCAGTGACCAGCATGTTATAAACACCCACTGTAGGGAAGATAAACACTGTTGTGCGCCCCTTCCCAGGGCTGCCACAGTGACCTACTGCCCAGTGGGGCTGCTAAGGAGGTCTGCATCCAAAGAGTGGACTGAAGGGGACTGTACCCCATCAGATGTCTATGCTAGGCTGCAGTTCTCTTTCAGCTCAGGAAATTTCAAGGACGGGCAGAGGTTGAGGTCACGGCCAAAAGTATAATGGGGAACTGGTTTGACTTAGAAACCTACTTCAGCTCTTAGAATCCCAGAGGTGAACTTGAGTTCACCTATAACACCACAGAGGACCCTGGGATTAGAACAGATATGCAGGCTCAGTCTAGCTCAAACACACATTCTCAAAGTAATCGCAAATCCCCAAAGCCTTCCAGGGGTGGATGAGAAACAAGTTAATGCCCAACTATGCCGACTGCTATTAACGCTAACAACAAACTCAGGCACTCCACTGGGTCAGGTTTCTGTAGCGAATGGCTATTCATTCAAATAACAGGAAATTTGGTGCCTCTTGGTGCATGCTGCTTCAGTTTTGTTCTAGACCATAGCAGGGGTTAGCTGCAGGTAGAGAGGGAAGAATCAGAATCTGGATCTGGATGCCCGGCAAAGCAGAGGTAGCCCAAGGTCTACCGTCTGGATGTGGAGGTTGCATTATAGAGACGTGTATGGATTATGATAGTTCCCAAATCACAAAGACAGGTGATTTTAGCCATCACTGGCCTCTCCATGTATGTGTTGAGGGAAAGTGCTAACCTTGTCCTAAGGGAATTGTGGGGGTGCTTGTATCCTACACACATCAACGTCAGACCTGAGAAGTAAGAAGGCTCCTTACATGAGAGGAACAGAGGGTTGCTGTTGCCCTCCTCCTGCCCCCCTGCCATGCGCGTGTGCACCCACACACACATACATGGAGAAAGAGTTTCTACAGGGCAGTTAAGTTCCCACTTACTTACTTGTGGGACCAGTTAACTTTCAGATCATCCAGATAGTAAGTAACAAAAGAGTACAGCCGTATGCCCTCGGCTGTGCTCTGGATTTTCAGGTCTGTAGCAGACAAAGCTGAAAGAGGAAAACAGTATATTTCATACAGCTGTAAGCCTAACCAGGAGCATAATGAAGCATTGTCATGGGGAGACCATTTTAACTCACCTATTGTCTTACATACTTCAGTCATTAGTTCTTTAAAGGCTGTGGATAGAGAGTCACAGACAGAACTTTAGCATAAAAATGCTCACCAAGGTCAAATCTCAAATTGTTAGTAGCATGTGTTGTCAACATTATCCTGCCTGGTGAAGGGTGTTGGCCATAAGGTGAATTTGCTGACCAAATGAGAATAAGTACTCTTTGAGGGAATAATAATTTAATTTGTATCAACTTTTAAAAGGTCCCTGCTCTTATTTTGATATTTTTCCCCCTCTAATTATTTGTAACTATATATACATTCTAGAGAAAGCCACCGTGAGATTTCCAGGAAGGTTCTTGGCTTTAGGATTCTCTTCTTGTTAAATCCCAAGAAGTCTTAGTTTACCTAAGAGGAAGTTTTCTCATCTGTGCCATCAACTCATAATGAATTAACCATCCAGGCTCCCTGATATTTCTCAGCCTTATAAGGCTTTTTGTCAATAAGCACATTTAGTCTTGCCTCCACGAGGAGCAGGAAGGTGAAATCGAAGTCAGACTCACACTGTTTGTTAGTAATACTGTTAAAGATCTTGTCCAAGAATGCACTTGGAAGTTTGGTGGTCACAGGTAGGTCTTTGTTATCATGATATATTTGTTCTTAGAAGTCTCTCAAGGGGGCGCCTGGGTGGCTCAGTCGGTTAAGCGGCGGACTTTGGCTCAGGTCATGATCTTGCGGTCCGTGAGTTCGAGCCCCGCGTCGGGCTCTGTGCTGACAGCTCAGAGCCTAGAGCCTGTTTCAGATTCTGTGTCTCCCTCTCTCTGACCCTCCCCCGTTCATGCTTTGTCTCTCTCTGTCTCAAAAATAAATAAAATGTTAAAAAAAAAAAAAAAGAAGTCTCTCAAAAATGGAAATTTCTTTCTTGCTCTGCTATAATACCTGAGAGGTTTCACAGTTCACATATAAATCTTTCTTGCCACCTTTTAAGAGTGGACTATTTGGCGACATGCTTTTCATAGAATTTTTTTTTAAGTGACCATCTTTTTAAAAAGTAAACCCAATGTGGGGCTTGAACTCACAACCCTGAGAGTAAGAGTCATATGCTCCTCCAACTGAGCCAGCCAGGCGCCCCTCACAGTAGTTCTTGATCCTGGAACATTTTTTATACGGTTGAAACAAAAACGATGCTTTATATTGAAAATGGAACCCTAGGGGACTATGGACTACAAATTCTCTGAACGCCTAAAGTACACTTTTGATATCCATGAAGACTAAACGTGAAGCATTTTTGAATAAAACAGTCGTTCACTCTGCTGGAGTTTCAATTAAAACAAAACCTGTGGACAAACACAGCAGGACTTCAGTTGTCACTCAGCCTTACTCACCAGGCTGGTAACCTGTACACAGAACACACAAAATGGACCCCCCCAGTTGGTGGACTGACCTTCATCCACAAGCTTCAGTCTGCTCTTATCTTTTCCTCTGTCGTCTTTCAGGATAACTTCATAAATCCCAGCATCTTTCTTGGAAAACTAAGGGGGGGATGGATACACCACACTGCAGCTTCCAGCAGCCTCAGAGTACCGTGTTTGCACTCTTAAGGTCCTCTGGTTTATAGAACTGCCATCAAATCACACATTAAACAAGCATCTGGCTATGTGAGCAGTGAGGAGTTCATAGACGAACGTGTCCATCATCATTTCACCAGCTAGCGGTCCTGATTTTTCACCCTCTAAGCCTATGAAGTCCTTATTCTTTACTTTTCCTTCATATTAAAAACTAATGATCACATATATTTGAAAGATATGGCCTTTTAGACAAAAAAGGAGGTAACACCCTATACTTACATGAATACTATGCCTGATGTCTCTGTACTTTGAGGGAACAAGTTATCATGAGGCTGAAGAGCAAACCAAGAAGAATCTACTTAATTGCCTTGCCCCTCACCCATCTATGAAACGAAGTAGCTTAGAGAGGCCAGAGTTGTGGTGTCTAACCAATATTGGTTGGATATCTGACATATCCATGCATTATCACAAAGTGAGAGTTTTTGTGTTCCTATGCTTTGTTTATTTTTGGGGTGATGTCAGGGCAGGGATCTTTGGAGCAGCTAGAAGTAAGGTACTACAAATGCCTGGAGTCAAGGAATACAGAATCTTATCTCTTTTTTTAGAAGAATGTAGGGTACAGAACTAATAAATTACATTTCACATTTATAGTCACCTACCTCTGTTATAAGCAGTGTACATATGCCATCCTTAAAGTCATGCTTTTCATCCACTGATATCTCTCTTTCATCTTTGTACCACACAATATGAGTCTCCTTCTTAATATTTGCCACCTGGAAGAAAAGCCATAATTATACTTCTTGAAGTAAGGGAATGCTGCTCTTACAAAACTAGTTTCTAATGTAGCATTGGATAGAAGAAATGCATGAAATTAGAAGACATAGATTTCTTTTTTTTCAAAAAATTTTAACGTTTATTTATTTTTGAGAGAGAGAAAAAGAGAGAGAAAGAGAGAGAGCAAGCGAGCATGAGCAGGGGAGGGGCAAAGAGAGGGGGAGACAGAGAATCTGAAGCAGGCTCCAGACTCTGAACTGTCAAAACAGAGCCTGACACGGGGCTCGAGCCCATGAGCCTTGAGACCATGTCCTGAGCCAAAGTCAAACACTTAACTGACTGAGCCACCCAGGAACTCCAGAAGGCATAGATATCCGAAGGGATCAATTGAAAGCAATTTTAATTGGTAAAGAGTTTAGAATAAAATGGATACAAATGAATAAACCTAAATCAATAGCACCTATTTCTAGCAGTAAAAATTGACTTTAAGATTGTCTGGTGGACAGAAAAGAATAGATATGTACATGTTAACATGTATACTTAAAATAAATAATAAATATCTGAAAACCATAGAAGACACATCCCATCACATTAAAATATAGCCTGTGTCACAAAAACAAATGGCTTTATCAAAAGAACAGAATGAGCAAGCCCCAATGTATATCTAAATATTTTTAAAAAGATGACTGAAGCTTTGCAAAGAAGTGTGGAAGGGAAGTATGTTTGTGAAAACATTTTTTAATTAAAATGTTTTTAGTTTTGTTGAGATACAATTGACATACAATGTGTAAGTTTAAGGTATATAGCATATTGATTTGATGTATGTATATATTGTGAATTGATTCTCACAGTAAGTTTAGTTAAAAACCATCAAGTATGGTTTAGTAAATCAATTGCTTAGCAATTTTGAGGAAATTCATTTAAATCCTATATCCATACATCATAACATCATAAGTTTCAAACTCGTACAGTTAAAGGGATCTTGACCTTTATCTACAATGTTTGCATTTTCTACAAAGAAGACTATATTCTTGTATTTCTGGTGTAATTAATATTGTGTCAAAAGTAAAGACTTCATACAAATCAAGAGAACAATCCTTAAGACCCCACTGAACAGCTGAAGAAATGCACACACAATTCCCCAAAGAGGAAATATAACTATATAACAAACTATATAACAAACAGATGAAGAAAATGGTGGCGTGGATTCCTGCAGGAGAGGAGTGCCCAGCTCTGCCTTGCAGGCATGCTGGGGTTCTTGTCCTATATTCTTTTGAGTAGACTAGTTCCAAATGGGGTCCATGATAGTCTCATGAATCTGAATGTTTAGTTACACATCCTCCATTAACTATAATGAATATATAAATTGCTAAATGCGCCTAAACTGCTCTAATAATGAAACAAAGAGCTATGGGAAGACAGAGGAAGGTTCATTCTACCTGCACAAAGAAGGAAAAGGTCTTACAGAAAAGATGACTAAGCTGGGACTAGAGAAAGGATTTTGTCGGAGAAGCTGAAACAGCGTAAGGAACAGGCACTGGAACAGCATAAGTACATAATGTATGAATATCTAGATTCTATTTTTAGGCTTCCGTGGTTGCTCAGAATCTGGGCAAGGGGCTGATTCTCCTGAGGAAAGCCATCAGAACAGGACACCGGAGCTCACATCCCAAAAGGCTAGTACAACAGGTGGGTAGTACAGAAAGAAGCAGGATAGATGTGTGGGCCCCTGGGAAAGGGTGGTTTGCGGGGTGGGCAGTTGTGGAGGAGAAAGTGAGCCAGGGGCTGTATGGCAGTGGACAGCCAGGAGGAGAGAGAGGGTTTTGGCTGCTGCCTGAGAGACTGTTTTTAGGAAGCTTTGCCATTTCCATTGAGACTAAAGCCTAGAATTTAATTTTCAGACACCTTTCTGGGAGACTGATGTTTCTGTAACTTTCATCAGACTTAGAAGAGACGGGGGCGCTTGGGTTCTGGCTTTGCTAGTGCCAAATGCCAGATCCACGCTTCTACTTGGAGCCACTGTCTGCTGTCATGACCTTTACACTCCGACCTCATCCAGCAGTTCCCTGTCCAAAACATTTTGGTGACTCGGCTGAACACACCATGTGCTAAGGTATAAAATGATTAAGGGTGTGATATAGCCTTTTTTCCTCTAAATCTTTCCCAAGGCCTAATGAGAGCTGTACACTCTTCATCAAACCTCTCCCCTCCTGGCAGCATGCTGGTTCCAGAACCAGCCTCTGAGCTAGCCAACACTCAAAGGAATTGTCGCACCAGTCACAGAATATAGATACGAAATTGCTAAATTTCCAGGGAAGGACAGTGTATCTAGAATGATCGTGGAATAGATCTACTAGTTAGAATGCACATTTGGCCTGAAACAAAGACCATGTGAGATTCTTCTGAGATTAATAATTTTTAAAGAGTTGGGAGTGGGGAGGGAAGAATGAATAGGCAGAGCACAGAGGCTTTTTGCTTTTTAGGGCAGTGAAAAAACTCTGAATGATGCTACAATGGTGGATACAAGTCATTACATATTTGTCCAAACCCATAGCATATGTAATGCCAAGAGTGAACCCTAATGTCAACTATGGACTTTGGGTGATTATCATGTGTCAGTGTAGGATCATCAATTGTAGCAAATGTGCAACTCTGGTGGGGGATGTAACGTAGGTGGAAGCTGTACATTTGTGCGGACAGGCGGGGTATATGGGAAATATCTATATCTTCCCTACAATTTTGCTGTGAACCTAAAATTGTTCTAAAAAATGTAAAGTCTTGGGGCGCCTGGGTGGCTCAGTCAGCTAAGCAACCCAGCTCAGCTCAGGTCATGATTCATGGCTTGTGAGTTTGAGCCCCACGTCGGGCTCTATGCTGACAGCTCAGAGCCTGGAGCCTGCTTCAGATTCTGTGTCTCCCTCTCTCTCCGCCCCTCCCCTACTTACACTCTGTCTCTGCCTCTCTCTCTCTCAAAAATAAAATAAACATTAAAAAGCTTTAAAAAAAAAAAAACCCACAAAGTCTTAAAAAAAGAAAAGAAGAGCCAGTCCTTATTAGCTAAGGTGTAATGAATAGGAGCCATCATCTTGTCTTCCCATATTTTTATGTTGTTTTATCTTATTTTATGTTTCATTTTACTTTATGCTTCTTACCAACCAATGATTACAGTAACATTCAACAGTAAGAATGTGTCACTTAGCATTTTGGTTCAAATGGAGGAGATGAAAAATTGATCTTCCTTTTCTCACATTCTATTTTATCTTTATTTCCCTTATATCAAATATTAAAAACTTATCTACTTCTTACCTTGCATTTCAATAGTACATTACATTCACCAGTCACTTCCCAGCTCAAATACTCAGCAAAATGAGGACCTATAAAATTTTAATGACATCAGTAATCACCCTATTAACCACAAATGCAAAATCAAAGCTCATTCTTAAATTCTAAAGCGATACATGTGTGAAGTGATATTTTAAAATTCAAGATTATGGGGCGCCTGGGTGGCGCAGTCGGTTAAGCGTCCGACTTCAGCCAGGTCACGATCTCGCGGTCCGTGAGTTCGAGCCCCGCGTCAGGCTCTGGGCTGATGGCTCAGAGCCTGGAGCCTGTTTCCGATTCTGTCTCCCTCTCTCTCTGCCCCTCCCCCATTCATGCTCTGTCTTTCTCTGTCCCAAAAATAAATAAACATTGAAAAAAAAAATTAAAAAAAAAAATTCAAGATTAATTTTCAAATATTTAAATGGATACATATTTAATAATAAATATTTTCAATTATTTTTTATTTACCAGGGCATTAGTAACATAAGCAAAAAATAATGCATTTTAACTTGTTATGGAAATAATCTTGGAATATTTTGTTCAAGAAATTGAAGTTATTCTTTTTATTCACTGCCCATTTTTACCTTGTTTCCTGATCCATTCTTGCCGCTGGAATTCAGCTTCTTTCTGGAGCTTTTTATAAACTAAAGATTGAAAAATAAAGAAGTATGAAACTGAGTTGAGTGGTATAAATGTATATGCCAGTCACCATGCTAAGTGATTTGTACTCATTATTATAACACTCATACATCATGACGCCCTATTTGTTGTAAGTCTTCATGATGAAGAAGTAGGCTTAGAAAGGTTAAGTAAATTGTTTAAGGTCATTGCGCTAGGAAATAGTGAAGCAGTATCGGCAGTTGCAAATGTAGAGATCTGGCCAACCTTCCCAAATGCCACACTTGCTAAATGCCACATTTTACATCTTGGTGGTTTCTACAGTGGCTTATGGCAGCTGACATATAATCTAGTTCTAAAGTATGACTAATTGGTTTGGCATACACTACTTTTCATATTTTTCTTCTTAAGTTAAGTAATTTAAAGTAAGTACACAATATAAGGTAGGAGCATCGTTTCTGAGATACATATACAGACTTGGCTGTGTTGCAGTCTCCTTCACTGGAGAATTTTAGTAATAAATACTTGTTTATATATGAGATGACTGAACTGCAGTCTTCCTTGTGGGCTAAGGATAAATCTGGTGTCTATGAAATGAAGTACTATGGAAAGTATTAACTGAAAATTGGATTCCAACTTTGAAATACAGGAAGCAATTCCTACTGCCTTCCATGCGACTACTTTTGTGCCATGGGTGTTTGCATTGAAGGGAGCAGGGAAATCTTTCAGCTGATGTTTCACAGAATTCGTACCATCTCCAATGAGAACAAGAGTAGAATGGCCAACTGCTTTTCCATCTTGAAGCTGGAAAGTGTATGTGCCCTCATCCTCATCCTGTAGCTTTTCCATGAACATTTCAATTATGCCAGTGTTTCGGTCAACATGCATCTTATATTTCTTCAGTGTGAAAAGGAAAACAGAAATCAGTGAGCTAGATATGATGTGGATGCCTGATAGAATAAACACAAACTCCAAAGAATCATAATGTTAACACAATTTCTTGTTCACACTTTTTTTAGATGCAAGCTTTCAAAATCTTGCGCCCAGGAAAAGGAAAACATTACATGGAATAGATGACCTTGACCAGAAATGATTACTAAAATCTCTGAAATTTAATTTTTTAAATACAAATAAAGTTTTATTATCCCAAGTCACAAATTTTGTCAAAAACGTGTTTTTAGATTCCCATTTTACCTTCCAGATTACATTAGCTTCAATTAGCAGAACAATGCAAAAAATAGGCAGCATGCAGATGTGTTTTGGCTCATTCATGATTATATCCCTAGCATCTTGTACATGCATGGTATATAGCAGGCAATTAATAAATATCTGCTGAATTCACATGTGAATAAAAATACTTCCAAAGCATTTGAAGTCCATTTGTTCTTAATAAACTGAAATTGCCCTACTGAACTGTGCTTATTTTATCATACTGCTTAGGCAACTTCTTTTCAATGTAAAGACAAATCTTAGCTCTGGCATACAAGCACAAGTTCTATAATGGATTGGAATTAATAAAGTTCTCCTATAACTTGTCATAGAATGAAGGCTCATGTCTGGGATCAACTCTGTGCTGCAATTCATGCCCTAGAGCTTCCCCTGAAGGAAGCCAGTCTCCAACTGAGACCACATTCTTGCTTAGCTGTCATCTACCTTAGCTTGTTTCCCTAATCCCCACTCCTGAGAGTACTCTCCCATAAATCAATTGGAAGAGAAACTTATTTCAGACTGTCCTTCTAAGGAACTTAGCCTAAGACTGTAATTTCCACCCAATGAAATAGTATAAGAACTAATTTCGATGACAATGGGCAGGTCTCCACGTTCAGGGTACGTATGTGTATGTGGGCAACAACATGAAAGCGTGTGCGAACACATGAAGGGGAGTGTGTCTATGTGCACGTGTGCATGAGTGGTCAGAGGGTGATGCCAACGCTGCTTTTCCTTCCCCTCCATTGGTCAGGTGATGAGCACACAGTCAATGAGAATATTCTGAAAACAGGGAGAAGATGGGCCACAGTGGACTCTGCGTGACCTATTCGGGCTCTACACACAGTTGCTAAATGAGTTGAAGAGAAATACATTACATATTTTTTGCTATTTATGTGATTCATTCTCCCCTTCACTAACGAATTCTGAAATGTTTTAAAAACATATCTTGATGAAAGGAGAACAGGTTGTTAATATTGGCCACAAGTCACACTTCTCTCCAATCTTCTGAGTCTCTCATTCATACCCATGATAGCACAGGTAAGAGCCAGAGCTCCTAAACCCAAATTCTTCAGTACCACTGAGTGCTGGCCTGATCCTGGCTCTACTGATATCTAGGGAGGACAAATAAAGTGCAGATGTTGTAACTCTGTCTATGGAAACTATGTGTTGAAAGCAAAGCAAAGAGTAGATATACACAACTACCTATGTAAATAAGATATCAATAGACATACACACACAGAAGTGTAGAATCAGACCAAGAAGTATAAACCGATCTGTGTATTACAAAACTGTAAGAATTTGTGATTCTTCTGAGTCTTTAAAGTTTTTCTTACAATAAAAATGTATTGCATTTTAACCAGAAGACCAATGAAAGATATTTTTACTGTAATTTTTTCTGAGCCATCAGAATAATAAAAGCCATTTCTTCCCCCGTGAAGAACCAAGTTCCTGTTGGGGTTTCTGATGGGAGTATGTGAGTTTAGTTAAGCGTTCTTGCTCCTCTGACTTCTCAGGAGAGCAGCTCCATTTGCACGGGTAACAATACTTCTTGGTTTGCCTGGGACAGTTTTGGTTCGATTGTTGTCCTGGAAAAATTATTACTAGAACCCTCTTTCATTCTCAGAAGTGTCCCAGTTTGGATAATATGATATAGTCAATCTATATTTTCCTCTCCTTTTTTTTTTTCACATATGAAATGACTTAAACCCCACCACTCCATGCTCAGTGGTTTTCATGACAACTTACCCGCATCTTAATAGGGCTTCCTCAGTACATTCTACAGTGATAAGTTTAGAATCTAAAAAGCATAAAACATACCGGCCCTTCAAAAATCTCCTTGTCGTTAAATATGTAGGTGACCTTGGTGTTGGCAGATAGCTTCTCAGCCTGCATCCAGAACCGAACCTGGCCTTTCTCCAAAATTTCAACTGCCAACTCTGACTTAACTGGAACAACTATGCACAATAAAAATAAAAATGGCAATTTTATTGGTAACCAATTGTATTGATACAGATTTTTCAGTGAAAAAAACACTCAACAGAAATGACAATATAGCACCTTGCTTCTGGCAAAGCCTGGAGGCAGTAAGAAAGTTGTAAAGAAAGAACGATATTCAGCGATGGAAGACCTGGATTCTAATCCTGCTGCCACATTGGGCAGGTCATTCCCCTTCTCTGAGTCATAGATGTCTCAACCGTAAAAATGAGGAAGATGAACTTACCTCCAGGGTTCCTTCAGCTAACCTGTGTGACTCTCTACTGTAGCTTTGGTTAGGTTTATTTAGGGACAATAACAAAGTGTGATGAAATAGCCTTGGGCTGGCCCCAGGAGATCTGGAGCCTAGTCCAATGTCAATGTCAGCAACTAACAAACTGTGTGATATTAGGCAGATTAGTTCACATATCTGGACCTCAGTTGACTCGTTTATAAATGAAGGGGATTGAACTGAATGTCCTAAAGGGTCAAGATAGTTTCCAGCACCAACATTCGATAATCTCAATTGCTTCAAAATATTGGGAAAGGAGTTAAATTTTATTTTTTCCAACAACTTAACTCTCTGTGGACATTCTTTCAAATGTTTTTAAAGATGAATTTTAAAACAGAATTAATTTTGATTATATATATAAGATGAACCAGCTTATCATTTAAACTCTATTCATCCCACTGGTATACCAGTTCATTTAAGTTCTTAGACTAGGCAAAATTTTTCAGAGGCAAATACTTGAGTCACTATTAAGAAGGTATATTAAAATATGGCATGGCTTGCCTCATAAAGAAAGTGAAGAAATCATATGATATCTCTGATTTATACCTGTATCGCTTCAGCCATTTAAGTCTGAATGAAATTTTAGTCTTTGGCTGATATCTCTCAAAGACCGTTTTCTAAATTTCTTATAACTTGAAAGTGTTCTTTATAAAGGCTCTTGCAACCAATGGTTTTGTATCAGAGGTGACTCCAGGGCAAACTTTGTGGAAAAGCTTGGTTGTTTCTCAAAGTTTAATAGTCCTTCACTTCCTTTAGGAGAAATCATCACCCTTTGCTTTCTCTAAACTGTTCTCAAACTAACCTGAAAATTTCAACACATGCTACATTTTAAATTGTAAGCTTCCCAAACTTGTATGAAATGTATATCAATATTTCTTTGTACTTATCCTAAAACTATCCTTTCTAAGCTTAAGGGATGCCTATCATTTGCACTATTCCATAGTCACTAAAACTCAGTTACAGATTTGTTCCAATGCAGAACTAAAAGGAGGCTCAGATGTCATCTACTGAGGGGTGTCCACGATGGGCAGAAAATGGGCTCTGGTGTCACACCATGCCCTTGGACAGTTATCTTCTCTAAAACCTTGCATTCCTCACTTGCTAACATGGATATTATCTGCCTCATGAGACCACCAAGAAGAGTGAATATCATACCAGAAGACACTAAGACACTGTGAATAATGACCAGTGCTCAAGAAATGTTAGTTCTTTCTCTCTTAATTTACTGATGAAAAAAGTGACCTCCAGGAAAGGTTAGTAACAAATCTGAGTAGTAGAGCTGAGACCAGGGCTATGCCCTCGATTCTGTGCTCCTCCTCGTCCTGGATGTCCAGTCTGAAGAACACTAGTGGTTTTCCAGTGTGAACATGTCTGAGTAAGGCACCATGGACAGACTCTAGGCTTGTGAGAGCAGAAGCTAAGCTTTCTCGCTACAGAACACTCCTGCTTGCTACTAGTAACTCTTAAGGGGAATGGAAAGTATAATCTGTCCTAGAAAAGTCTGGAGACCTTGTTCTGGGAAATCTAATACATGAGTGATGAGGTTATCTAAGAGGGCCAGAGTGGTGGTGGAGGAGAATGGGCATGCCCTCCTGGAAGTTTCAAGCTCCCTTAATATTCACGGTTCTCTCTGAGTAATAGGAAAATCACCAGAGGAAACACTGGCCACCAGTAATTGCCAGAGAGGGTGTGGTGGCAAACAGCAGGTGCACACACAGTAACAGTTCATGTCCTGGTTAGTGACAGACTACTTGGGCTTAACCACGGGTATCCGCTGTGTACCTGTGGTCTAGTTACCCAATCTCTCTGGGCCTCACAGTATACATCTCTAAAATTAAATCACCTTAGAACTGAAACTTTTCAGGTCATTGTGGAGTTTAAATGATATACTCCATTTAAGTACCCTATAAATACGCTGGCATATAATAAGTGCTCTATAAATTTGGCTATTAATATTTTTGTACCTCTTTTTTCTTCCAGTTAATTCAACAAAACCCTACAACTACCCCTGATAAAATATAATACACTGATACCCAAAAGGACATACCAAATAGATATAAGTGATGTGTATGTGGTTGCATATACCTGCACACATAGGTACACGTGGGATAATAACCGAGAGGTATTATGCAAGCCATTGACGATACTGAAGTATACCTTCCATCATCTCCCTCATAATACCTTGAAATCTTTGGAGAATAAAGTAAGTTTCTCTCAAGTAGGTTGCCTCTGTATACTGCATCTTAATATCAAAGCTGGTAAGACCCGCTAGGCTGTTTTCTGTTTTTAGTTTTATACATATTTTTTTTCTTCTTCTCAGTCCTAAATTTCTTTAGGCTCTTTTCTCTGGCAGTTAATTTCCTCCAGCAAAATATCTGTTTTTTTGTATGTTTAAGGCATATGTTTAGTGGTTTTCAAAATATTTTTGAAAACAGCTTAAAGTAGGAGAATTTACTGTGCCAAGGGCTAAAGGAACACCATACTCTTTTTTCACATTCAGTAAGAAGTAAGACCCATTTAAAACTACAAAATCTCAAGAAAAGACTTAATTATGTGTCAACATTTACCAGAAGGAAGTGGGCATAGATTGAGAAACTAGATATGCTACTTTGACCCTATCATCAGATCTCTGAAAATATTCATGTAGTGGCCAAGCTGATCTAATAGTGGTGGGGGAAGAAAAGTGTGGGAGCTGTATTATTTAAAATGCTGCTTCGAGGCACTTGGGTGCCTCAGTTGGCTGAGTGTCCAACTCTTGAGTTTGGCTCAGGTCATGATCCCAGGGTCATGGGATTGAGCCCTGCATCTGGTTCTGTGCTGAGCTTGGAGCCTACTTAAGATTCTTTCTCTCTTGCCCCCTCTCTAACACTTATGTGCTATCTCTCTCTGTCTAAAAATAAATAAAATAAAATAAAATAAAATAAAATAAAATAAAATAAAATAAAATAAAATAAATAAAATAAATAAAATAAATAAAATAAATAAAATTAAATTAAATTAAATTAAATTAAATTAAATTAAATTAAAATAAAATAAAATGCTGCTTCAATGGGCTAAGCAAATCACCCTTGGGTTGGGAGATCTGATACTTGAATGTCAGAGTTTTTAACACATCCTTGAGTTCTCTCTCTCTGCCTACCCAATGCCATACCAGGGCTCTAATAAAAGGGGAACCTCAGTTTGCTAGTATTCTCTCTCCTAGAACCAGTAATTCGAGTGATTATGTTTATGCAAAATAAAATATCTCAGCATCCATGACAGCGACATTGGGCAATTACTGCCTCCAAGTCCATAAGATCACTGAACTTCAGGGAGGCTTGGGCACCTCCAATTCAACACTAACACCCAATATTGTCTCATCTCCATCCTTTAAGCTAAATGTAAATGTCATTTGGATCAGCTGTTGCCCAGATGCTTTGCCAGTGTTTATTGTCTAACTAGATAAGTGGAAGCTGCTCTTTGTCTCCATTTCTACCAATGTTTGAAAGTAGACCGTGATCACTAATGGTCAGCACAGTGACCCTCTCCTTTACTCCCTACTTCACAGCCCTGGGGACATGAAGGGAGAGCATCCTGTACAGCTTGTAGAAAATCTTCTACAAGTGGGTTTTTTGAGGATCACTATTCTACTTCAATTAGTATTTATGTTTTTCCTGAAGAGCTCAAGGATCAACCAATACTATATTATCTCTCACAGCATCTCTATACAGTAGGTGCTATAAACTATTACAACAGCCATTGCTAGTAAAGACACTAAGTAAGGCACAGGGAAATTAAAATGAGTTTCCCAGGTTCATAGACTGGGTCAAAAGTACTGAATAAGGAGAGTACAGGCCAAATATCTACCTTCCATACAATTAAAAAATGATAATAACTTTTAAGACACCATGGCATTACTTTTCCAGTTTCATAGTGAATAAGCATACAGACAAAAAATGGTTCTCTCCCAGAATTCAGAAAGTCTGTATCCTACTTTCACACCCCATAAGCATGTTGCTGTGCTGCTTTGTTGAACAAATGTGGTTTTGAACCACTGAGGCCAATAGTCACCAACACTCAGCCTCACAATGGAACAAGCATTCCTTGGTAATGGAAAAGAAGTCAGATAATTGGTTCCAGAGCAGTGTTTGTTTTTTAATCATAGCCTTCACTGGGACTTTCAGGAAAGCTACAGACCTTCTTCCTAGAAAAATGCACATATACAAACATGCAAGGTTTTGTCTATGGTCTGGGATCACGGTATAATTTCCTGAGTTCCTGAAAATTCTGTATCAGTAAAGGAATTATATTTTAGGGACCAAACAGTAAAAAAAAAAAAAAGTCCTGGTTTAAAAGAGTGAGTGTGGATTATCACTCCCTAATTGTTTTCTCAAATTCTAGGGTATAACTTTCTAGATAATCCCCTAGTTTGGTCAATAGATATAAGTGGCAAGAGATCTTATCAGGCCAATGGAACTTTCCGGGTGTCATTTCACACTTCTTTCTCTTCTTTTAGGTGTCAACTGCAAAATTTAATCTTTTATGTGGAAAGTGCTTTATTGAAGAGTTTGTAGATAGTGCAGAGAGATTCTTTTTCTGACTAAGGCATCTTTACCTTATTTTCCAGGAGTTTAAAATGGTAGATAATGTCTTTAGATTATCTTTAATTAGAGGTATGATTCTTCTATTATGTGCTAACATTAAATTGCTCAGGAAGAGGTTGGTTTGCCTAAAAAACATGCGAATTAATGTATCCAGAATTATATAATATATAGGGTTCCAAAATACATAGGCAAAAGGTGAAGAACTTGATTATTCAGCTGTTACACCTACGTAACTTGACACTTCACTATGTCACAGAGCATGTGACATTTTTTCTATGTTAGTATTTGTATCTGTTTAGAACAATGGCAAAGATAAAAGCAGCACTTCTGGAAAGTGCATTTGTAGCTACCAGTCTATATTCCATTGTGTGTTCTCAAGAGCCTCTTGTCTTGACCCTGTCAGAGTTGTCTTCTGACCTATTCCAGAAGTCACCACCTAGCAGGATTGCTAAACTCTGTGAATGTACTGTGGACACTTACTTGGGAACTTGTGTTCTTGGCTGAGAGCTAGTAAACGTTTCAACTCTGTAGGGAGAAAAAAAGAACAATTAAACTACTAAAACAAAACTCACCTGATCCCAGAGGATCATTGATGAATCAGAGCAGCATTAGACTTATGAATGGATTGATTTTAAGCTTACCGTCCTCATCTATCAGGTAGCTTGACGCTATCCCATCCGTGTCTGTTACATCGCAGGAGTAAATACCTATGTCTTCCGTCCCAAGGTCCTTGAAGGTCATTTTCGTCCTGCAGAACAGAATACTCTTGTTAAGAAGGGAGGCTGTCCAGGGTCTGTGGGCTGGCGTCCTGTACTGTCTCCAGGTGATTACCTATGCGACTTCCTTCATGGGGAGCACTTACTCCTAACTCCCCTACTGACGTAAAACCTGCACATTCCTGCAGCTTCTAGGAAGACTTTCCTGACCTCCTCCTGGGGCTGCAAGGATGACAGGCGGACAGGAGTGGGGAGCTGGTACAAACCTCCCATCCCCAAGCTATGTTGCATATCAATGCCCATCCCCCAGAAAGATATTTTTAACTGATCAGCCCTTGCTGGGGGAAACTAAAAAAACATTTTCCTCCACAGAGCAGAACTTTCTGTTGACAACTCCAAGTGCCCCTCTTATGTTAGTTAACCTCTGAACTTTCCTTTTTGAGGTTATCATACTGTATTGGTATTACCTATTTTATTATACGTATGCCTCCACTATATAGTCATTGTGCCTTTAGGGACGAGATATGTTTTATTTCCTGTTGTGTCTCCCAGCATCCAATAGTTTTCTGACACATAATATGTGCTTAGTAAATATTTGTGGAATGAATAAATGAATGGGTCAATGGTTTAGTTCACTGTGTTTTCTAACTTTGGTGAGTGATGTTGCTACTCAGTGTCTAAGATCAGCCAAACATAAATGTGAGCCAAGTGCACAAATTGGAAGAAAACCTGTATAGTTTGATTGCCTTTTCTTTAATCAGATTTATGTTTTACTTCAAGTACTTTATAGCACGCTGATGGAAAAATGTCTTTTAGTTATATTCAATATGTCCTTGTCATCCTCCAACAAAATTACTATTCCTTTATTTTTGAGATATTTTGGGCGTCTTTGTAATAAAAATAATACTTAAAAGCATTTTGCTTTACCAAATGCAATCCAATATGGTTGGAACTATAAAAATATAAAACTTGCTAAACAAGGCAAAGTAAAAAGAAAACTTAAAATCTTGGATGTGAAAGAAGTAATTGATCACAAAATTAATCTTCGATCTCTCCCATTTTATAGAAAAAGAAATTGGAGGCCCATGGAAGTTCAAAGCTACCCCAGGTCACAGAGCTGGCCCCTCATAGGGCTAGGGCTAGAACTCATCTGTCCTCTGCTTTCCAAACAAGGTTCATTCCAGTGTATTATTATGTCATTCTTAAGTGGGGGTGAAAAAAAAGACGAGATTATACCTATTTCGTTTAATTCACTATAACTTGAATCAGCAAGCAGCAAGTTCTTCCTTGCTCCCTCCCCATAAGCATCCTCACCATTACTTTAAGATTATGAAGTTTCATAAAATAATGAAAAGCATCATTAAAGCTGACTTTTAAAATGTCAATTAAGGCTTTTCCAACATCGCAAATTTGATAACATATAAGAAAGCTTTTTAAATGAAATAATATGAAAGTAGGATTGTTATTTTTCAAGGTTGACATTATTACTTTTTACATGACCAAATATAAAATATTTGTGATTTCATCCCCTTATGCCAAGTATTTGAGAGAGAAAGCAAAGCGCTTAACTTCACTCTCCTATCATTAAAGGAAACAAACCCATTTAATTTTGATTGAAATGGTACATACTTGTTGCCTTTGCTCTCAACGTCTAATCGTGGAGAGCCCTCAGTGGATACATAATCTTTGGACCAGTTGAACTGAGAATTTGGAGTCATCTGATCACATTCAAAATTCAATGAAATTACGCCATCATCATCCACATTTACAACAACCTCTTTGGTTCCTAGAAGATCCAAAACAAGGCACTGATTATTTCCTAATAGAAATCAACAAAGTGAGAATTCCTTACTTTGGGATCCGTTACTTTAGCCTTCAAGCAGGGCCTTGAGCCTGTGCAAGAGAAAAGACCCAACTGCTCACTATGGATGGACAAGCCTGCATCCTGCTCTACAATTCAACTTCTATACTGCAACATGGAATTTAATTAATGTGCCATATTTTTCAGGTAGAGATACCACCAGTCTAGGGCTGAATAAAAATTGGTTGATGTGACTTAAAGTACAGTTATAGGAGCAAGTTGGTCATAATAAGGAGGACAAGGCAGCCCTGGGCAAAAGGAAAGTTGAATGATCCTTGTTAGGACTGAATTGATGACTTTTGCTTCAATAACACCCATATCCAGCTACTCATCAGGAAAGGATAGATAATAGATAAAGAAACCAAAGGGGAGAAACAGAGGTAGTAAAAATTGCCTATAGTTACATGATTAAAGTTTGCAAATCATTTAAAAAATGATGAAATACATGGAAACTTGTTCTGTTTATCAAGTAAGCATATATAAATCTAAAGATGCCCCTCTAGATTAGAATGACAGCAATCTAGACATGACTGTTATTGAACTGTATGGAAATTTAAATGGAAATTAATTTCAAGAGATCCAGATGTTTCAAGAAGATTGGTTTTTAGCTTTTTTTTTTTTTTTTAATTTTTTTTTTCAACGTTTATTTATTTTTGGGACAGAGACAGAGCATGAACGGGGGAGGGGCAGAGAGAGAGAGGGAGACACAGAATCAGAAACAGGCTCCAGGCTCTGAGCCATCAGCTATCAGCCCAGAGCCTGACGCGGGGCTCGAACTCCCGGACCGCGAGATCGTGACCTGGTTGAAGTCGGACGCTTAACCGACTGCGCCACCCAGGCGCCCCGGTTTTTAGCTTTTAAAAGAAAACAATTCAGTTAATGTTTTGAGTTCTTATGTTTTTGTGAGTTATAATAAATTGCACCTGCATCTAATCTGGGGCTTCAAAGAGTTTGTATAGCACATAAAACATTCACATCTATGCATAAATCCAGTTGAAAGGTAAAATGCTCTTCTCAAATTGACACTCATTCAGTTACCAGTCTAAACTCAGTTTGTTTCCATATGTTAGGAAAAATATATTCAATCTAAGAAAGGTACAGGTTTGTTTTTTTTAAAGCATTAAAAGGGGCACCTGGGTGGGTTAGTCTGTTAAGTGTCTGACTCTTGACTTTGGGTCCTCAGGTCACGATCTCACAGCTCATGGGTTCGAACCCCTCATCAGGCTCTGCGCTGGTGGTGTGGAGTCTGTGTGGGATTCTCTCTCTCTCTGACCCTCCCCTGCTCTCTCTTAAAATAAATAAATAAACTTAAAAAGAAAGCATTAAAAAAGTCTTCCAATAGATACTGCCAAAAGACTGAAGTTTTTCTCTCTAAATTGTAAGAAGTCAGCATCCTGGCTTACTGTACAGTAAAACTTGTCAGGGGGAAAAAATTGCAAAACTCCTCCCAGGGGAAGGCCAAAAGAAAATGAGTGCCCAAACTGTGCATGGCAACATGAAAATCTTGGTTCCTAAGCCAGGCAGTTGATTTAATTTGTGTCCTTACTGATAGCAGTGTGTGCTTCAATTATAAACTCCCAAAAAGTGATTTTTAACACATGGAATGGCTAGAGAAGACTACTTCTAGTGATTTTTAAAATTACTTTTTAAAAAACAAACAAAGGGCTATTTTCATATTTGGCTATCAACTGAAATAATGATCAAATAAAGACTTAATTATATTTAAGTGAAATGTCCCCCATGTATTACTTCTAAAGGACTGAGTCTACTCTACTGAAAGTTGCAGACCATATTTTAGTTCTACTCCTGATAACATATGATGAATCCTTACCATCCATTATTGTATAACAAATAGTGAGAAAGTCCTCTCATTAAAACTTAAGAAAAGACTAACACCTAAGAGTGTGGAGGTTGAGGCAGTGTTAGAATACATGGCATGGTTGAGTCACAGAGAGAGTACAAATAAGAAAACTTCTGTATATCTGTGTTGTTATGAAGAGGAAAGAAATGACAGAGGTTGACTAAACCTTCCTTGCTATTTGCATAATATCTATTTTGGAGGCATGATGGATTATTCATATTAATCATTCATTGTCTGATCTGTAATCCCTTTTAAAAGGAAGTGAATCATCCATAAGCTTGCTGTTTATTATACTAGAGGCATGATTTAAGTTTACAACAGAAAAAAAATATTGCTTAGGTCAAGAATTGTGAGGTTTGTTTTTATTAAAGTGAAAGATTTTACTTCATTGCAAAGGAGTTACAAAACTGAAAGAATATGAATAGTATATAATTAGCTTAGCTGTTTTCTCAATTCCACAGCTAGCCTTTGTGCAGTAACACTTCATCCATCTGGAACCCTGCCCAAAACCAAGAAGTAAGGAAAACAAGCCCCTAAGTGGCAGTGCTGATGTGACAAAGTCCACACACTAGTATTCCTGAACACTCACTGGAGAATTCTGTAGATCGTCACTTGGAATCTATTTAAACTTCACTTCGAGAAAGTTGGTTCGTTGGTTTCTGTCAGCAGATTAAACCCCCAAAGCACAGGGAAGCAAAAAACTACTCTCAGCAGGTACACTGAGAATAAGGAAAATGACAGCAGGAGAGGAGGCAGAAAACATAAATGCAGGCATAAAGGCATATTTAAAGAGGGACAAATGGCTCCTCACTCCTTAATGACATCACTGTATTCCAACACTGTATAATAAATAAGGTTGATCTTTATGGCCCTGAGTCACACCGAAAGAGGTAAATAAGATTCAGTACACTGCATCCAAGGTTGAAAAGTACATACTAAAATGTCCAATCTATTTCAAAAGACTTTTTATCAAAGAGTTTTAGAATGTATTTTCAAATCTTAATGCTTCAGCAGTAAATTCTCAGGTAAATAGAACAACCGGGATTTTAAAACAATAATTTGTTCAGGTTTTTTTTTTTTTTATTGAGGAAAATTTAGTCTATAACATATAAGTTTCACAGATGGCTAACAGACATATGAAATGATGCTCAACATCACTTATCATCAGGGAAATACAAATGAAAACCATGATGAGATATCACCTCACACCTGTCAGAATGGCTAAAATTAATAACACAGGAAACAACAGATGTTGGTGAGGATGTGGAGAAAGGGGAACCCTCTTGCACTGTTAGTGCAAATGCAAACTGGTGCAGCCACTCTGCAGAACAGTATGGAGGTTCCTCAAAAAGTCAAAAATAGAACTACCCTGTGACCCAGCAATTGCATTACTAGGTATTTACCTAAAGAATAAAAAAGTACTGATTTGAAGGGACACATGCACCTTGACATTTACAGAAGCATTATGAACAATAGCCAAGGTATGGAAAAAGCCCAAATGTCCATTGACTGATGAATAAATATAGAAGATGTGGTGTATATATACAATGGAATATTACTCAGCCATCAAAAAGAATGAAATCGTGCCATTTGCCACAACATGGATGGAGCTAGAATTCTCCAGTGAGTGTTCAGGAATACTAGTGTGTGGACTTATGCTAAGTGAAACAAGTCAGTCAGAGAAAGACAAATACCATAGGTTTCACTCATATGTGGAATTTAAGAAATAAGACAGATGGACATAGTGGAAGGGGGGAAAGAGGAGAGGGAGGAAAACCATAAGAGATACTTAACTACAGAGAACAAACTGAGGGTTGATGGAGGGGAGGGCAACAGGGGATGGGCTAAATGGGTGATGAGTATTAAGGAGGGCACTTATTGTGATAAGCACTGGGTGTTCTATGTAGGTGATGAATCACTAAATTCTACTCCTGAAACCAGTATTACACTATATGTTAACTAAATGGAATAAATAAAAACTTACACAAACAAATAAAAACTGCTGATAACCAGACTTTAAAAGGAAGGAAGGAAGGAAGGAAGGAAGGAAGGAAGGAAGGAAGGAAGGAAGGATGGGAGGAAGGATGAAAGGAAGGAGGGAGGGAGGAAGAGAGGGAAGGCAGAAGCGAGGGAGGGAGAAGGAGGAGGGGGGGAGGAAGGGAGGAAGGAAGGAAGGAAGGAAGGAAGGAAGGAAGGAAGGAAGGAAGGAATAAAGAAAGATTATATAAGGTTCAGGTATGTAACACACAAATTTAATATCTGTATGTAGTACAAAGTGATCACCACTAAAAGTCTAGTTACCATCCATCACCATGCAATTGATCCCCTCTACTCATTTTTCCCACTCCCACCCCTGTTCCCCTCTGGTAATCTCCAATTCATCTTCTGTACTATGAGTTTGCTTTTGTTTTGTTTGTTCATTTAAGTTTTTAGATTCCATATGAGTGATATCATATATCTGTCTTTCTTCATCTGACTGACTTCACTAAGCATAATATCTTTGAGGTCCACCTCAAATGACAATATTGCATTCTTTTTATGGATGAGTAGTACTCAATTGTATATATATACCACATCTTCTTTACCAATTTATCCATCAGTGGACATTTAGGCTGTTTCCACTTCTTGGCTATTATAAATAATGCTGCAAAGAACAAAGGGATGATTATATTTTTTTTCAAATCAGTGTTTTTGTATTATTTGGACAAATACCCAGAAGTTGAATAGCTGGATTATATGGTAGCTCTATTCTCAATTTTTTAAAGGAATTTTCCATATTTTCTTTTCCACAGTGGCTGCACCAATTTACATTTCCACAGTGTTTGAGGGTTCTCTCTTCTCCATGTCCTCTCCAACATCATTATTTCTTGTCTTTTTGATAATAGCCATTCTAACCATTGTGAAGTGATATCACATTATTGTTTTGATTTGCATCTCCCTACTAATTAATGATGTTGAACATCTTTTAATGTGCATGTTGGTCATCTATATGTCTTTGGACAAATGTCTAGTCTATTCAGATCCTCTGCCCATTTTTAAAAAGATTTTTATGTAATCTTTATAC